TCATGGGTTTCATGGGATCAACAGACCAATGCAGGCACCTCTTCTCAACTCTGCCACTGGCCAGGTGCAAGGAAGGAGCAGACTGTGGCTTGGCAGAACATGCTGGTGACACCCTGCAGCTTTAGGAAGAAGAGACTGGAAATTCAGGAAGGCCAAATCACAAGACCAGTGTGACAGTGAGCACAAGAGCTATGGGTATCACACTGCTACTACCACTGTCTCCATAATATGGGGTGTTGTGTGCGTTATGGTTTAATCCTCATCAGCAACTGAGTACCATGATACTGCTCACTCACCCCAACCCCATGTGGGATGGGGAGGAGAACCGGGAAAATAAGGAGGTGCAGCCAGAACGTTAGAGAAAACAAATTTCCTCTCAAACTTGTTGACAGAAACAGCTATACAAACACACACAATCACAGTAGAAGCAAATCCTCAGTGATCACACTTAGTTGTACTGTGTTGTGCACAAATTATTCTAAAACCTAGACTTCAGCATGCATTCAGATAAAAAATGATTTTGAACTAGAGACCTGATACTTGGTTCATTCTCATTTGGAGCTGAACATTTTTAATTTCCAAAGGGAGCACCTCAGCACTGTACATTGTGGAGTCCTATTCTGATCTGGCATGTCACAGATGTCTAATCTGCTTTTCTCATACCAAGTGCTCTAAGCCACTACACCACTTGCCATCACTCCCACTGAAAATTACGTATCCTTGCAGTTTAGGAATGTCATTGTTCATAGCACAGAAGTGTAGAGAAATGGAAAGATTCTTCTCCTGTTCCCATGATACACTTAATCCTGTTCTCAGCAGCACAACAGAAAGCCTGACTCAATGGAAATCATTAATTTACACCTTCCACTGGCTCCGTTACAGAGTTAAGAACAGATATGAGGTATAGTCAAAAAAGATTTTCAGACAAAATTCAGAGTGTCAGGTTTTTTTACATTTGTGTTAGGCAAAATTGGTTTAAAACTGCAACAGAAAAGGCTGGGTATCTTTTTGTCCATGATTTAAAGACATTCATGATACATGTGTATTTTCTATTCTTTATATACTTATAAATTTTAGAATCAAGATAAGAATAAATATTTCAGAATAAAGATATATAATTTCAGAGTCAAGATAAGAAGGAAAAGTTTATAGCATCCGTACTTTTATCTGTGTCATTAATGAATTGCCTGAAGATATTTTAAATTAATTCATGATTCCCATATGGCATTTAACCTACAATAGAAGAAAAAGGCTGTTTTTATATAAAGCTGCATAAATAACACCAAAGGAATTTACCTACAGCATGTAAACATGAATGTAAACACAGCAAAATCCCAGGAAGAGATGGCTTAAAGGCGTATGATTTTTTCATTCATCACAACATTTACAGATCACATACAGGGAAAGTAAATATCAGGAGAGAAGTAAGAAATTCAGTGAGCTGCAGAGAACAACTCCACTACATGGTCTAGCATTACCAGCTCCAAGCAAGGAAGAGTTTATAGCTGATTGCCATTTTTTAATCTCTACATACATCTTATATCTATCTAGTGTGTATACAAGGAAGCAAACTTTATCCAGTTTTCTTATCACTAAACTTTGGAAAGAACTATCTGGTTTGAAAAACTGCATCCTCTTAATGTTGCTAACAGGGTAGAGATTTGCTCATTTCTTAATAGTATACGCTATCACAAATGTAAAAAATTTTTGGTGCTTAGGGTCTTGTCACTGTTCTCATGTGTGCCAAGGTTACTTTGGCTGAAAGCTGGCATTGGGAGTATTTTCTCCTGGAAAACATGCCTAGCAAACTCTCACATCAGCACTTGCAGTGTAATAGAAAAATACCCTGAATATAATGAGGATCATTTCTGTTAATGCTTTGCACTGCTAAATGCACATTTTTCTATGCACCTAGAAGTTTGTTATCTCAAATTTCTATGACTCTGACACTAACATTATGGTGGGAAAAAAACTCTCAAACCAAACAACATCTGATTTTTAAAATTGGAAGCTTTCAAAAAACACCTATTTATTCTATCTATATTAGAGATAAATATCTATCTATATTAGAGATAAAACTCTATTTCAAAAAACAGAGGCAGACAATCCAAAATAGATACTACAATATTTAACTAAGCACAAAGGAGTTTAACTGTTTCATCTAGCTAATACTAGTAGGTCTCTTCACATTCCTTATGACCAGATTTTTTTTCCACATGTTGCCTCCTTTAGCACAAGAACTAGATTGCCTGCGTGTACCTATTCTCTGCCTGTGGGTTCTGTTCAAAGCTCAATCAGTTCTACAGGAATATCTTGTAATTCCTAGATCACTAGCTACATAATCACAAATCTAGTCTGAACACTTTCAATAGTGCAGATAATTTTTTCCTTGACATGCAAAAAGCACTTCAAAAATGCTGAAGTTCATTGTGCAAAGCCAAAGAAAACATAATCTGTCTAGACAACAAAAGATATCTTTAAGAATGAAAGCAAAGGTTAATGACCAGAATGGTACTTAATTTGAGTATAAATGAATAGCTTGTCCATTATAAATAAAATACCCTACATTCTCCCTGGATCCTTCTCTTTCTCCCCGGAGGAGAGAAGCAGTTCAAATCTGAAATCGTAACTCCTTATAAAGCACACTGTGAAAATCACAAATCATGCAAATAAATAAATGAAGAAAACAAATAACGGAGCTCATCATCAGATTAATAAAGAACAGACATAAAGACAACCTACATATTTGGAACAGCAGCATAAAATTTAAGCAAATAATCTTTGTTGGATGGATGCAGAAGACAGGGAAATACTCCAAGGGCTCATACTGGAAGCAACTATTCAGCAGGTGTTCACAGAATCATAGAATGATTTGGGCTGGAAGGGACCTTAAAGATCATCTAGTTCAAACCCTCCCTGACATGCACAAGGACACCATTCACTAGACCAGGTTATCTGGCCTTGAACATTTTCATCCACAACTCTGTTCCATTGTCTCATCACCCTCACAGTAAAGAATTTCTTCCTTATACCTACCAATGATCTCTCAGTTTGAAGCCATTACCCCTTGTCCGATCAATACATGTCCTTGTAAAAAGTTCCTCTCCAGCTCTCTCAAACGATCTGTTTAAGTACTGGAAGACAGCTACAAGGTCTCCCTGGAGCCTTGTCTTTTCCAGGCTAAACAATCCCAACTCTCTCAGCCTGTCTTTGTAAGAGATTTGCTTTAGCTTTCTGATCATCTTCATGGCCTTTCTCTGGACTCACTCCAACAGGTCCATGTCCTACTCAGAGCTGAACAAAGTATACTCAAGGTGGTATCTCATGGTATTCCTTTAAAAACAGGGGTTATGTTTCCCTTGTGTTCACTCTTTAACTTAGTGAGAGTTAAATTTTATCACATATTTTTAAACTTCTTTAAAAAAACCACAATTCACAATTTGCATTGCTGTGATATCCAACCCTCAGAATACATTAAATCAACTCAATGGAAAAAAACCAGAGGAATATCAAAGCTGTTGCAAATGCCAAACTTCTGTCTGGAACGCACATTGGCACTCAGTAAATATGGATATGTACCCCAGATTTATAGATTTTGTGCACTAAGTCCAAAATCAGACTTGTAGAATTTCTGTGTGGAAAAAAAGATACCTGAATGCACAAATGTCCTAGTGTTGATGGGTATGCACACCATTATTTTCCCCTTTTCAACATAAAAGTGCATGTGCACTTTTTTTTCCAATTCATTATCTACCATGAAGCAATGGGCTTATAGTCAAAGTAATCACATCCTCAATACAAAAATGAAAGAAAAAATCTCTTTTCATTCAGATCACATGCAAACCCACACCAGCTTCATGGAAAATTGAACTGGGCTCAGCACTTGCACTGCTGTGGGACTGTGAAGCCCTAAATGTGCTGCGTTATGCCCCTCTGGACCCAGTGCAACCAAATCACATCTATGCAGTCACTCGGTTTCAGTACCCCAGTAACTGGCCTTTAAGTACTCTTGCTTTGCACTGATGAAAAATAACCTGAACCTTGAGAGATTTTTTCAGCCTTACAAATTCCCCTGTGTGGTTCACAGCACAACCTTGTGTACAGTTACTGCAGCACCACAGAAGCAAGAGAATTTAAGAAATAACTGACCAGGCAGAAAACCCATCAAGATATCATTTAGCTAGAATGGTTCCATGTACAGTAAGCTAAGTATTTTGCCAAACTTACACCTTTCTCTTGTGTCATTTTACCAGCAGAAATTATAATGGTTTTAATTTGCTTTGTCAAAACAGAATGTGAATGCTGCTGTTGCAATTTTTATCTGGGATAAAAAAATAATTTTACTGTGAATTTGAGAAGAATCTAGATGCAAATTATATCTCTGGCATGTTAAATAGTGCATTAGGAACAGTTAATATGCTTACAGTAATTTTTGTGTGAAAATTAAAGGCTTTCTCAGTTTAAAGTAAAAATTAACTTCAGTTTTTCAGAGCTTCTGGTCTAAAAAAACATTTCATACTACAAAAAAGAATCCTCTGTTTACAAAATAGAAACAACTGTAAAACTACTGATAAAATAGTTTCTAATTATTCACATTAACAGATGAGTGTTTTTGAATTTCAGCCACAGATTAAGCCTCTCCTAGTCCTCTAAACAGCATCATGTGTGACACTACCAACATTTAACTTGGCGATTTAAGTAGATGGAAGAAAGCTCTGTATCTCAGCTTAGCATTCTAGACTCTTCTCTACTATTCTTCCTTCTGAAACAAAATACTTCATTTTCCTAGTGCTCACCATGGCTTTCAGTTATCTGATTTTTCAATTTAGTCAGTCCTGCCCTCCTCTCCCAGCCAATGCAAGGAACCGCTTCACAAATAAAAATGGACCTGAAATAAGGTTTATTTGATAAGCATTCAGCCAGACTCACTTCCAGAAGCTTACTGCAATCTGGTGACTTATTCAGGATCTGAGTCCTGCAGCCCAGCCATGACCACAGTGCTATAGCAGGCAAGTGAAAAGTAAATGCATCCCAGCTCTTACCTGACCACGGTTGTGAAGACTTAAATCGAGACCACATGTAAATTCAGTATGATGCTCAACTGTTTCCAGCAAAGGATTAGGCTTGGAAAAGTCCCAGAATCTATAGAGAGAATAAAGGAGGGAGAGAAGGAGGAAAAAAAATCAAACAAACCACAATTAAAGTAATTGAAAGGCCATTTCAAAAACATAATACAAGATATTGACAAATCTGTTACTGCCACGGTATTTAAAAAAGCAAACTCATCCACTTAGGAAACATAACAAATCATACTCCTGCAATGCCATCTGCTGATTTGCATAATTTAAACCCCACTGGGCAAAGCCATCTTTGTGTCCTGTTGCAGAAACTGAGATCAAAGTTGGCGCCAAGAAGCAGTCAATGGGACATTATTAAAAGAGAAGAAAAAAATATAGGCTAGAATACTCTTGTTATATTTCTTGATGGCTGGGGAATCTTATCCCTGAAAGATATTAGCACAATTTTTGATTTTTCTCAGTTTTTGGCATCATTAACGATGGGGTCTTTATTTAAATAAAAATTACACACTCATTTAGAGATCTCAGTCATGCACATTCTCAATTTTGAGACTGTGTTCCTGTAAAACAGAAATTTAATATTATAATATAGTAACAAATTTGTACTACACAGATCTGCATTACACAGTCAATTCCACTAGTTCATATTTTTAAAATATTTTTAAAAGAAATTTTTCCTTTGAGCCTTGGTTGTTAAAAAATTCTTAGAAAATAATAATTCTGAGATCCTCTACTTCTTCCAGCTACTGTCCCAGTAGATGCAGTGTCCATCAATGCCATTAACAGCCAGTACGAGAGATCTAAGAGTAGGTGGGATTAAAATATAGGTAAAAGACACCTCAGTCATGAAAAAAAGGATTAAGCCCCAGAACCTTCAGCTAACAACACACTGACAAAATGATGGCACCAAGCAAAGATTTGTTTCTCTTTCTTGTGTTGTACATACTGCTGAGAAAGTCCACAGACTGCACAGCACAGCATATTTTGTGGGCTGTCAGCTGTAATCGTATTTTCTACAGCCCAGATTTTCACACAGAGGTCAATTATATGCTTTACTACTTCTGTAACAATCATAGAGGTCTCTTTGCCTTGCCTTTATTGGGAAAAGTGACAATACTTAACAAGAACAGCTCATTATCAGACCAACTACAGTGGAAGTACTGTAAGTTCAAAACAATTCAGGTAAAATAGCAAACACTGGAGGCAGCAGGGTCAGTTTGTTTAATAAGTAGATGTTATTTCCTTCATAAACAAGGAGAGTGGTATCAGCACAATGGCTATGCCATAGCAACAATCCTCTTAATTTTTTCCTAGTACCTGAGATCTAAAATAAACAACTTATTTTGCAGAAGAGAGGAGCAAAAGACCATCTCAGCATTTTCATCCTCCCACATTTGTTCATAAGAAGGTAAGGCAACAAATCTTGTTTCTACGTAATAGTGTTAGCCTTCCTTAGCACATTAGCCCTCTATTAATTCTTGAAAGACAGATGCTCATAACTGAAAACTATGATTAAAGAAGGTAACTTTAGATTTACATGAATAAAAACCTAAAAAAATACCTTTTGATCAATTTTTAAAATAGTAGGACAATATAGTGTTTCTTATATGAAGTCATGTTGTAAAAAGTCAGCAGCAGTTTAGAATTTAAGACTACTGCAAATTAGTTCAAGTTCAAGAGACTGACTGGAAGCTTTGATACCTTTTTTAATATATAAATAATTACAAGAGAAAGCTCAAAAAAATGTTCTCAGTCTCAGGACTGAGAACCATTGATGACAAATTAATGATGGTTTTCATAACAACTTTGCAATCCAAAGGAAGAAACAGTGTCTACAGCACAGCTTCCAAAACCACCATGGTGACAACAATATTTTCCTCAGAGTCAACGTTCATCACATTCTGCAGACTGAGAGAGAAATGCAATTTTTCTAAGACACTGTTTTACCACAGCAGGACCTACACAAATAGGTATGCTTGCATTACTTCAGTTGTATCTACAGAGTTAGTGGTATGAACTTAAAAAATGGGCCAGACAATCACATAGGCTTTTAGGGTCCCTTACAGTTTAATACCCTGTACAACCACAAGGTCGTGTCATTTAGAACTGCTATTTTTACCCACATTATGTATGAAGTCACAACTTCAGTCACATCTGCATTGATCACAAAACCCCAAAACCTGCATATGAGTGTATCGTCTTAAACTTTTTAATGCTGGAATTGTTAGAAGTATAACTTCTCCCTCTTTTCTCTAAAGTTTATTTGTTTTACATGTACCTGGCATACAATTCATAAGCTGCACATATATTGCAAGTGGACTGCTTATTCTGAACAAGACATTGTAAGAAGAGAGAAACCTCTCATGCTATGGATTTTGTACTTTGTAATACCCATAGCAGTGTCACAAAGACCTGTGCTCCCTGACCAAATCACTTTTACCAACCCAAATATAGTCTATCCTGCATATCTTCTACCTTGTCCTCACCCCCACTTTGCCCTTACCAAGTGCCCCTGCACCTTCACCACTGGCTGGGAAAACAGAGGTAGCAAGTATCATTCCAGGTCCCAGTGTCTGTTGCTGCATGATGAAGAGCTAGCGTATCAGAAAGAAGATTACTCACTTGTGGTGAAATTCATGCTATGTCCCTTACCTTCCTTAAGGTAGTACTTGAGGTTTCCCCCTCTTGCATATTCATAAGTTTCCATTAAATTTGCAAAAGCTTAGTAAATTTAGACAAGTTTCCTGCCAAATCTAGTAGAGTTTTCAACAGGTTCACAAGTTACTCCAGGAAATGATTCAATGAAAATGCACAGATGGAAGCACAATAAACAACTCATCAAGTCTATATCCTTCTGAGTAAGAAAAAAATATTTATGATAAATATTTATTCATGAAAGCTTTACTAATGCTCTTAGGTTATGTCTTCATACATCATATTTTTAGGTGGGTGTGAATCAGCTGTTCAGAGGCTGCTTTCCATAAAAGCCCACTCAATGACTAATGCTAGTTTTCACACACAATCACACCAGGCACAAGTCACAGTAGAATGTGGATTTATAAAGCCAAGAACCTTTCAAGAGCAACACAGAACTCAGTGCTAGTTTACTACATGTGTATCACACAATTCATCCACCTGATCCTATTCCCTAATTCCTGTGCTGACTTGTAAAAGTTCTTCCTGCAAACTAGAAAAACTTTGGTCAGAGGAGAGCTTAGTGTCAAACTACTTGTGGATACAGGCCAATCAGAGCAACGATGTTACTTCAGGCATTAACTGGGAACATCTAACTGTTTCCATACCAATGTTCCAAAGAAATTATTTCATTACAGTTCCAGTGAAGTATCAACATTCTGAAGCAATTTGAGTATAAAAGGACAATTTCCATTTAAGGAAAATTAAAAAAAAAAATAAAAATAAAAAGAGAACAAATGAGCCAACAACCACCTTTTCACATTGAAGGAAAAAAACCAGAAAAAAACCACAAGGATAATAAGGATACCTAACTGAAGTGAAACACAGTTCATTTTAGGATCAGCCTTATTCTGTAAGACTTCTTTGTGATCCAAATTACTGAACTTGTACATAGTGATGAGAGCTGGAGATAGTGGTTTAACTTACAGTGTGTTGCAGAGATGATGTCCAATATAGTACAACTTTTAACAAAAATTGCCTTTCTGCCTTAGGGACAGATATTAGGGACATATTCTGTGAATATGATTCAAGATCTGGCCTGATACCAGCTTAATGAAGCTCTATAATTTATCAGATCCTCTGTTTAGATTTTGGTGAGCACTGTCTGTGACTAATGCACCACGATTTCTTTTTTATACTGAAGAGTCCAAAAATACCCAATGGTGATTCCAGTAAAAGATGACACTGATGTTCTTCCAAATTGAATTTTGACAGAGATAATGTTTAAGAATATGCAGGCAGACCTAAAGTAGTTCTGGAAATGTTACAGTACTTTGTGTATTTCCTGACATTTTAATGATTCATTTGTGTTCAATGTGCTCTTTAATTAGCCTACATTTTTTCTGAGCTCTTCTGAAGAGTAAGGAAATGTTATAGAAAAAATTTGTCTGAATTAAGCATTTACTGGACAGGGATTATAAATCATTACATCAAGGTATGTAAAAACTCAAGTTCAAACCAACATCCTCTTTTTCTCAGCTCCTACGTTTCTTTTCAGTAGCTTGGCTACAGCACTCACATTCAATCATTATACTCTTTGCAAAGGAGGAAGCTAAGTATTGTTAACTTTGTTTTCAACCCACTACTTTTTCTTTTAGATAGACAGTTGTGATTATGTGCCAAACTAGCTGTACAACCTGAAACAAACAAAACCCTGCCTCTTACATGGCAGTTTGACAATCTGGACTAAGATTTGCAGCTGTTCAGTTAAACCATAAAGCTTCAGTAACCTCTAAGATTACACAGCTCTGACAGTAAAGGATTGCTCCAGCACTATGCTCTATTCTGTTATCTATTATAAACTAATGCTTGCAGATAATTCTGAGCTTCAAACAGACACACCGAAGAGTATGAATGAACAGCATCATAACTAAACTGCTATTAAAATAACACAGCAATGAATCTGTTTTTAAGGGACTGCCATACCATGCTGTTCTACAAATTAAAATTCAGCCCCCTGCCACCAAATGGGGCTAAAAAGTCACAAGCCTTGAGTAGACTCAACAAGATCCATAATTAATGTCATGTATTAGAATCCCTACTCTTCTTCCACCTTTTATATAAAAATCAAGGATTTTTACTCCTAAATTGAAATGTGTGTGTGTGTCCACACATGTGCATATATGACAGGATGTGTGCATGTATGTAATTGTGGAGTGTATGATGCATCCAGTAAAACGACAGTATGTGGTAGAGGTTCAATATAGTCTTTACATATCCAAATTCTTAGGGCAACAATTTGTCTCCATTATACAGAATATTTTGCTTGTGACACCTCTTCCAAAGACTTTCACCTGGCCTTCTTTGTTGTTTGTTGTTCACTTGTACCAGATCAAACAGTTTTAGAAAACTGTTAAAAAATCTTTATTTCATCTCTCTGATTCTGCTGTCTCTCCCTAGTCATGACAAGTAAATATTTGAACAAAAAAATAATGCCTAGAGTGAATTTTGTGAGGAGGTCCCCAAGCTCTGCATTTATAGACACAATGCTTTGTGAGCTAGTAGCTCTCTCCATCTTTTCTGACCATTTCCACATACAAGAATGTCAGAGCTGAAATTGCACCAGATTTCAATATTGCATGAAGCAGAGTAGTGCCAAACCTGAAGGATATATAGTTGGTGTCAAAAAGGGGAAGAGCATGACAACACAATTAAGTCGTATCAGTGCTTAATGTGTTAACTTCATGATGCAACTTTATGGATGCAACAATGTTATGGCAGAAGACTGGATAGATTTATGGTTTAGCAACATATACAGGCACTGAGAATTAGCAACAGAACCCTTTGGCAACAGAATCTCTCTAGGTCTGGTGGCAAACCTATTAGGACACAACCAGAAGTCACATTACTTTGATTTGGACAAGTGGGATAACTTTGCAGTCCTTTATAAAGGCAAGAGGGCTTCTCCCATTTCTTAATCTACTGCCTACTACACACAGTCCATGTTAGAAAATTAAAATGTATATCAAATAATGGGACTGAGGTAGTCAGGAATACTTCATGGTTTACTGACTTAGGACACAGTGTACCTTAGAGAAATCCCAGTATCAAAGCAAACTTCTTTAGGACTTTAAATTAGCTTTAAAACATCTGTACTATGAGATCTTCAGCAGTATCAGATATAATGAGCAGCCAGGGGAACATGAAGAAGAGCTAAAGAGCTTCAGCATTCACACTGTGGAACACTTCCAAAGCTTCCTCAGATACCAGTAGGACAAAAGCTTTGTTCATAAAAAGCATAAATAAAAATGCATAATTTTAACATTTGAACAATTTTTAACAAATTAACTAAAGTAAGAGGGTATTATCTTCTTATCAGACATTGTCACAGGTGGATGCAACATTCTACATTCAGTAGAGTGATGTGAAAAGGATTGCACAAAACATCTGATAGAGCAGATATGTCTTGGCATAGTGACTGAGCTGGCCTTTAATGACAAACCCATGCATTTGCAACATAGGTTATGAAGCATCTCACAGCAATATTAACTACACTTCTGTATATCCACTCTGGAACTGTTTTCTATTGCAAGCCATATTAAAATAGATCATCTTTCTATTTTTATCCAGTTAGAGAAAATACTGTACCTTACAGTAAAATCATAGGAGCAAGAGGCCAATATGGTTGCGTGGAATGGTGAAAACTGCAAGAAAACAAAACAACTTTTACATTGTGGATATATGCAGACTTACGGTAAGTAGTATGTTATCAAAAACTTAGTTCATTTACTAAAAATAGTTCTAAATATCTAAATTTGTCTTGGTACCACATCACACTGCTACAAAACAGACTACATCAGTGTATTTCTCCCCCATGCTTCTAATTACAAGGAATCATAGAATTAATAATCACAAGGAATGCCCTATTGGATCCCAGTTTGCTTAGATTTCATTACAGCAGTACCAAATAACTCTGCTGTAAAGTTAAGAAGTTCTGGAATAGTCATAAGCAGCCATTAAATTCTGCTTTTGACTAATAAGCTGTTTCATCTTGTTATATAAATCAAGTTTCAAACCAGCTATGTGACCAGTTAATTATTTTCAGAGAGACAAAATCTGTGCCATACTACAGAGAATATAAGATATATTACTGTCATCAATTCGATATGCAATGATTTTGAAATTATTTATACAAATGGGAAAAATGGAGAGAAGTGGAAAAACTGAAGGCAATATAACATCACTTCATGATGCTCCCTTCTCCTACAGGGCATTTTACATGACATGCTCTTCCATGATACATGGATACACTCTTCCATGGACTCTAGCAGACTGGTTTAAAAACTGCAGCAAAAGAAGGATGCAGTTATGCAAAAATTATTTATCTCAGCTCTAGTTTTTTTGCAACCTGCAGTTTCCAATTATTTTAAAATCTGTATTTCTCAGCAGGAAATACAACAAGCCACTGACATAATTTGAGATTGAAATGCAGGTCCCCCACACTATGGTTCACAGGTAAGTCTTCCTGCAAGACTTCTAATATTATTCACAGCAACTACACAGTCAAAAGTTAAGTCTGGGCTATTGCCACAACTGCTCAGGTTGCCAAGAGAGCAGTGTATGTTGATGGCTACTGAACTCTGCTGACAGAGTTGTCTTTGCTATAGCAGAATTGAGGGATGTGCATGCTGGAACTTGAACCTCTGTAGACTTCCTGCAATTTTTTTTTTGAGGGGGGGGGAAAGAAAAACCCAAAAACCCTCAGGTTCTGCACCTCAGGAAAATGAATACTAGAGGGGAAGAAGTCGGATGGGCAACAAAAATTAATGGTACACTTTTCATAAGCCCCCTTTGCATGTCCACATAGTTTAAGATAAAGCAAAACCATCCTGTCAAAACTTTGTCATTAACCTTAAGTATCCTAGAAACTTCCCTAAGCAAACTCTGTCAAAATCCTTAGCAGAGTGTTACACATGTAAGTTGAGAAAATTTGCATAAAGTTTTTCTGCTACAAGAGAAAATTTTGCTCCATTTAACTGTAAGATACTACAATTTTATCATCTGAACAGCTGTTTACAGTCAGAAACCACCACATCATCCATCCTGATTCCAACATACCCAGATATCTTTTTAGGTAAACTCAAAAACTGTAACTATGTTGTCTACGATACTGAAACCAGCTAAGAATGTGAGGATCAAATGCACCAATATCAAAATCTCCCAAAAAGGCCTCCAGATGACCTGCTGATAATACCCTGTACTGCAGTGAAAGACCATAGGAAATCTGCAGGAATCCTGATAGTATTGTGCTAGGTAGAATTCCTTGCCAGCCTCAGATCTGACTGACACAACCCCTGAACAAGTGAACAAAATACAAAAGACAAGCAAGCGAAGAGAGTAATTTCATGGTTGGTTTAAGCTAATTTCAGAGTGTACTGCTGCCAAGACTTGTGGTTTCCACTTTCTTTTCCACTTCAAACTGTGTGCTCGTATTCCCTTCCTTTGTGTCAAGGCTTGTGATTGTGTGGTTGAGCAACAAATCGAAAAAGCGCAATGATCCAGACAGAAACGAGTCACTTTCAGGGACAGGGTTTCAAGTCAGAGCCATCAGCTGCAGCTTTACAATGGCTCGTGTCGGCACAACACAGGGGAAGGGATATCAGTAGGGGCAGCTGCCTCTATAGAGGCAGCATCCAGGTCTCTTCTCATAATACAGTGTGACTGGTGAGTTACACCACACAAGTGTAGATGTGCTGCACCACCTCGAAGTGCTGGCCCACACTGTCATATCTTATGTCTTCAGGGACCATGTCTGTCTTGAAACGGAAGCAAAGAAAGCCTGGTAAGATGGAATAAAAGTCATGTACTCTCACTTTGTCTTCTTTGCACATGGATGCATCTTCTCCTATGAAAAATATTTCACACAGCCAGATTAGTGATTAGTTGTGCAAGCACTAAATTAGAAAAAAAAGAACGAATCACCAGTCGGGAGAGCAGGCAGGGGTAGCTGGGATAAGGAGAGCAGGAGCTTCTCATATTGTCTGACCATTAAAAGGATTTGTGATACAGAATGACTACCTGAGTCACACCCTTTTCTGACAAATTACAAACTAAGCACGGTAACTTCTAAATATGTTAGAAACACACCAAGACCATATGAAGCAAAATACCAACCCGGGATAACTTTTTTTCTGCCAGTTCAGACATCCTAGAAAATATTAATAAACAAACCTGATCCTGGGAGGTTTTAAAAGGATTAGGCATTACCTCCTTTTCAGGAGACTTTGATATTAATGCATTTGACTCACATTTTTTGCTGGTTTCAATATTTTACACTGAAAAATAGTTACAGTTTTTGAGTTAACCAAAAAAGAATGCATATTTTTTCATATAAGATGATAAAAATGTCATTGTGCATCTAGAGAAAATTCTTATTTGTGTGTGTTCTAGCTGTATAAAGATCCAGTAAAGTAATATGAAGCCTTTCATGCATAAAGTTTCAAAATCTCTTGGAATGCATTAATATTTTCTTTGTATACACGAAAGTATATATTCACAATTTGTTCTATGTCTTGTCTTCTGTGAATATTGTCCCTTTGTGTGGAAAGACAAAGGAACAGCATCATTTAAAAATGAGTAAGGGGAAGTGTTTTCCCCATCTCGAATTTCCCATATAATTTAGCTGAAGTAAACCTTCTAACCCACTCTCAATGCCCTCTAACACTCTTAGTGTAAATATACTGACTTTGAAAATGCTATTTACTGTAAAATCCCATCAATCTACAAAATGTCAAAATGTTTGACAGTGCTAAACTGAAAGTTTTGAAGAACAGCCACTGTAACATCTAAAATCCTGTTGGGTTGGGTTTTTTTTCCTAGTTATTAGATAATATTAAAAATATTACTGGCTTCCAGAAAAAATTGTGTAACAATTCAGTGATGGAAATAAAATTCAACTTACTTTCACTCTTCTGATAGCATAGGTATGACCAAGCAAGACGAACACTGGCTGCCGGATGTTCCTCAAATCCCAGCCTTTCAAGCTACAGTCAACTGCACCAGTTACCAGCAAGTTCTGATGATGCAATAAAAAACAGATATATCACAACAATTTAATTACTAAATTGTAGCAATGCATATGTTGGATACAAATTTAGGAAAATCTAAAAATACAAATTAATAAATCATAAATGAAGTGACATCCCCAGTATGGAAATTAAAGAGCTCAAACAAACACCAACTTGTTTTCCACTTTTGACTACTCTTCCCATTACACAAAGAGTAAGCAAAATCTCTTATCTTCCTGGGTTGACCATCTGTTAGGTATCACAAGTTTGACTCCTGGGGTTTTCACATCCCAAATTCTTAACGTCTGATCACCTGAAACAAAGAGAAATTGATTCAATGTTGTTGCATCAGTTACAGAATTCACTTAATCCATTAGTACTTAGAGGACAAGTGTTTCTTAGCTGTATGAAATACAGATGATTGCATGAGGACATTCATGCCAAATAAAGCAAGCAACGTTATAGACACATCATAGAAGTCATATTGATGCAAGAAAAGGTATCTGAACTTACTATTGCTCTTTCATTAGAGAAAAAACTCCACAAATTCATTTTACTACTAACCCTTCCACTGTTATTTAAACCCAGATTTGACTGAAAGGAGATAGGGTAAAAGACTTACAGATTTGACTGAAAGGAGATAGGGTAAAAGACTTAAATAACATTCAATTAAACTAGGAGCCATTTAAAAGGTCCATTAAAAAATGAACTTAGAATCGTGAAAAAGCTTCCTCTTGAAGCCATCTGAGAAGTACCACCTAGTCACATGTTTTTGGCACAAGGAAAAATGAACAGTATTTGATATACCACTTATTTCAAAATTCCTTCAAAGAAAGAAAAATTTAGGATGTATCTATCACCTGTATTCATCATGTACAAAGCCTCCAGCCACTCAGGTTTATTGAAATACTGGAAGATAAGGTCATTCTACTGTAACTGTTACAGATAGGAAAGACAACATGTGCTTTAACTGTGGAGCATGCACGCACATGCACACTCACAGAGAGCAATAGAGTCCAGCTTAAGAGCTGTTAATCACCTGTGCCTCTCTCTTCATCTCCAGACATAAATTTACTTCTACCCCTAAAGACCTTCAGCATTTGTATGTACCCTTCTTAAAAATTCAGCTCCTAATGGTTTGTAAAGACATCAAAAGCTGCATCAGCTGACAGGACAACTGTGCTTACCAATTTTTAAAATTGGGATTTTCTCATTAGCCCAGCATTAGCTTTGTGTCAGCAAAAATGGATTCTCTAGCTCTCTAACTTAGGGGGAGAAAATTAATTAGAATTTATTATGCTTATGTTCATTCAAGAATTTAATTTAAATTCTTGTGATTAAATTTTAGTGATTAAATTTAATCACTAAAAAGTGATTAAAACACTCGTAATTTCTATATGAGGCATGTATCAATACTACCTAAATTAAAAAACACTGTTTTATGCTGCTGCTGAAGAAATTATTGATATTTCCTTATACTTATTATTTTCATGCCATTTATATACAAGCACTTTGATGGTTTTAGTGCCCTGTTGGTCACTGGCTGTAAAATATACAGCTGGGCAAAAAAAAAAAATCACAGCTCTTTTCAAGAAACTGGCTACAGATCAAATAAAACAATCCCTAGAGCCACAGCAATATTCCTAATTGCATGAACTACCAGACCCTGCAGACTTCACAAAAAAACCCATAAAACAATTGGAAACTTTAAATAAATAAGGCAGAGAGAGCTTGGTTCACTACATGTCGTGAGTGCATCCTTCTGACCGCGGAGACCATGGGGAGCTTGCTCTGGTGTTGGCTGGCTCATCCTCAGCCCTCACAACTGTGAGAGACGCTTCAGTCCTGGTGGATAAACTCCCCATCTGTAAGGTGGGAACAACACCCAATTCCTCCCTGCTTTCACTCCCCTCCTGCACTGTCAAGAGGAAGACTGCTGCTCAGTACATGGATAGCACTCCTGACAAGGGCACCCTGCAGCCAGTGAAGCCTCAAACATCGCTACAGTGCTTATAAAAACAGGGCAACATATGGAGAGGAAGAAACACAAGCAGCAGGGTTTTGGCAAAGAAACAGGTAGTACACCCATCCACTCTCTATTAGCCTTGCTAATCTCCTTGCCCACAGAGGACAGTTCAGTTTGAATTTTAAGTCTTTCTGAGATATTATAATGGACTTTTTAAAAAGCTTTTATTTTAATTTCATCAGATAACATAGATTTGAAGGAGAAATACATATTTCACTACAGACAGGATCATTTTCCCCAAGCAAATAAATATATAAATCCAGGTGAACTAAAATGAACTGATACAGAGATGCTACAGTAGCATTATGAGGGCCAAAAGCATTTGGAAAAGTTATTCAGCCAATATCAATTTTGACACTAAATAAACAATTGCCCCAATTATTTCTTTTTAACAGAAAATGCTGATGCATGAGAAAAAGAAAAAATGGTTATTTTCCTTTTTATTTTTTAAATTTCTTTGAAAATGCTAGACTTAGCAGTTATTAATTCTGGCTGGCACTATCAGTGAAATGTTTTTAATGGAGTAACACAACACACAAGTAAACCTTTCTGTGAATAGAAAAGACTGATCTAAAGCCAAAGGCAAATCCAATTCTTTCATTTAAAAATCAGATTAATTATTAAAAAAAACCCCTGATAAACAGTGCAATCCTGACTCAGGGCACATTTTAACAAACTTTTTTTCAACCTCAAATTAATTTCCATTACATACATATATTTACATTTAATTTCAATAAAAGCTTCAGTTAAAAATTTTGCAATTTCCACATTTTCATGAGTACTGAAAATACTGAGCATGCACTTTTTCCACAAGATAAAGGAGGATCATAATAACAGAAAGTACAAGGAAAGCACACCTAGAATAATCATATTCACTAACAGACACTTACAGCTGACAGCCCAAAGTAAGCAACCACAAAAGCACCCAACATTTCCCCCATAAAATATTGCTATTTTTGTATGAAGAAATTTCTCTATGGCAACAGATTTTTACTGGTCCATTAGATAATTATGATTTCAGAATTGTTTATACATTGTACTTGCTTGCTTTCTTTCTAATGAATATTTGTGAAATCTTGGACGAATCAATAAAACTACACAATACACACTCATCTATTCAAAACTTTTCAATTGATGCTAATCTACAAGTACATCATCCTTATACACAGGATAAAGACTGCTAATGTGAATGACACTGTCTGATAGTGAAAAGATAAAGTTTATTTAAGACTTAAATTTTATGTAGATTTTATACTACCTTTTTTACTCACAGATATATTTTACCCAAATTTATAAATCATCATCTCCAAAGTCCTGTGAGAACAACCAGCTAAGCAATCATTGCCAAACAGTGCAGAGGTGTAACAGTAACTACAAAAACAAGCTAGGTATTTGGGTGGTTAATGAAACCCCACGAAACCTTAAACATTATGTGAAGGGGAAAAGAACTCTAACTAGGACAGGTATAATGTTTCCCAGGAACTAAATTCCACTAGGCCGGGCTGCTGAGAGCCCCATCCAACCTGGTCTTCCATGAATGGGGCATCTGCAGCTTCTCTAGGCAATCTGTTCTGGTTGTTCTGGTGCCTCATCACCCTCACAGTACAGAGTTTCTTCATAATATCTAATCTAAACCCACCCTCTTTTAGTTTAAAGCATTAGCCCTTGTTCTATCACTACATGCACCTGTAAAAAGCCAAAACCATTGCAATTAAACTATCTCTGCAATGCCATTGAATGATCACAAGTTAACATTACTTGCTTACTTACACGTATTTTTAAATACTAAACCAGATTAAATTATTTAGGCTGAATCAAACAGAAAATCTGTGGGAGAATTACAAGTAGAACCCAACTCTCATGACACAAAATCAATCTTTTTATGCATGTTAAAATGATGGCGCTGATTGTTTCTATCAGTGATAATTGTTCTGATTTTGGCTGAAATGGAGATGTTTTTCTTCTGAGTAGCTAGTACAGTGCTGTGCTTTGGATTTAAGATGAGAATAACATTGATAACAGTGATACTTTGGTTGTCTCTGAAGAGTGTTTACACTAAGTCAAGGAACTTCCAGCTCCTCATGGTGCCCTGCCAGTGGCAGGGCTGGGACTGCACAAGAAGTTGGAACGGGATGCAAAAAGAACAGCTGACCAGAGGGATACCCCATAACACATGGCATCATGCTTAACCTACAAAGCTGGGAGAAGAAAAAAGGAAGAAAGAGATGTTTGGAATGATGGATTCGTCTTCCCAAGTAACCATTATGCATGATGGAACCATGCTTTACAAGAAAAGCCTGAACAGTCGCCCGCCCATGGAAAGTGGTGAATGAATTCCTTGTTTTGTTCTTGCATTCACAATTTTTGCTTTATCTATTAAACTGTCTTTACCATAACCCACAAGTTTTCCAGCTTTGACCCTTCTGATTCTCTCTTCATCCCACCATGGGGGAGTGACTGAGTGGCCGGGTGGGGCTGAGCTGTCAACAGGGGTTAAACCACCACAACAGGACAAGAAAACTTACAACACAAATAATAAAGCTCATGGGATTCCACACAAAGAGACAGAAATAGACACAAATAACAGCTTTAGTTAAATTATCCAAGAGTACTACCAAATACAGGAAAACTATCTCCATGTAGCACAACTGACTTAGCGAGTACACAAAGTTACCAGTGGAAATATACTTTCCAACAGGTCAACTTTAGTGTGATACAAAGTGGTGTCAAGTTAAAAATGAGAAGAGTTTGAAGTTATTTTAGGGAAGAGGCCAAACAATTATTTTTCTGAAAATAAAATAAAATAAAATAAAATAAAATAAAATAAAATAAAATAAAATAAAATAAAATAAAATAAAATAAAATAAAATAAAATAAAATAAAATAAAATAAAATAAAATAAAATAAAATAAAATAAAATAAAATAAAATAAAATAAAATATAGTGAAATCTTTATTTCAGTGTTTCCCAAGAGGATTATACATAAATCTTGGGACAATTTTTTTTTTTTTCAAAATTGACCAAAGTCAACACACATCCATAATGCCTTATTAGTGATTAAGCCATTATTCAGCAAATGATAATATTGGCTAGATACCTACCTGTAACCCACAAGACAAAACTCAAATTAATTTACTGTAAAAAACTGTTACTGTTTATTTCTTCTGAACACTAAACCACTTTATAACGTGTGATTTTAGTACAAAATTAACACCTGAAAGTGGTTTATGTTATAGCATGTGCTATATACAGTACTTTACTATAGTTAGCACATAGTATAAATTGAG